AACACTCCAATAGTGATTTGATCCTTCACATCAATATGACCATCGTAGCTTGATTAGTACCTCAACTAAATGCAAGTACTTTCTTCTTCACCCTAGCTAGGTTCTTCGGCCGCCAAGCCATCGCTTGCCCTTCACCCTTGCTTAGTACCTCGAAGCCTTTCCTTGCTATCTTCACCATCTCAAGTCATCAAGTCATATCTTGTGTTGAATCATCCATTCATTTGTATTGTTGTCTTTTTTTTCATTTCAATTTAGCAAGCTTCAAATATGAGACCATTTCATATGCAATCCCTTATGTCTCATTAATTAATTCTCACAAGCTTGCTTTTACATAGTACATGGAAATCCCATAATAAACAAGCCTAAGCATGAATTCCATTTGCATTGTTGTCTTGTGCTTGAACTAGATTGTTTATACAACAATACATCATTTTGGCTTTCATTAAGTACCTGTGAGATAACCTATCACCTGTCCACACTTAGCAAATGGGTTAGACCTTTAATCACGTTGTCATTCAATCATCCAAAACCCACTAAAGGGCTAGATGCACTTTCAGTTATGCACCGGGGTTTGCCTTGGACAGGTGCGGTGTTAGCTTAGTCAGTCAGTAGCGGCTCTAGAACCTCCTCCTACATGAGGATCTCCTCCTCATACTCGTCGATCACCTCCTCGAACTTGTGATCTCCGATGGTCACTATCTCCACCAACTCGTTCTCTACATGCATGCGATGATGATGCAACACTTAGCATTTCGGCAACAACAACTCTTAAAATAAAAATACACATGGTAAACTACTAAGCTAGCTCTAATGACTAAGATACTAAGCTAACTATCATCTTCCTTAAGTAAAGTGTTGGGTTCAACTAACGAACACCTAGCTTTACAAATTAAGAATACATCTTTATCTCTACTAATGGTTTAATGTATATTTGAAATAAAGAGCATTTAACTACCCATATGTTAAGTCTATTCTAAAGCTACAAAAATTACAGTGAGCACATAATAATACCATGAAGCTACTATAAACTTTTCAAAGCCAAAGCTATCACCATTTTACCACAAAAATTCCTACAAGATTTAACCTAATAATATTAAGCACTCTCAAATGATTTAATAGTTCATGGTATCAACAAATATATATATGAACTAAATACACCAACAGATAGAGCATAAGTTTAGAAACTTAACAAAATTGGTTTCATAATTTTTGGATACCTATGTGATTTTATATGATTTATCAAATATCAGCTCAGAAATACAATTGAAAAGATATTTCTATTCTCCATGAAAAAGATAAACTCATTTCGGCCCAACGCGGCCCACGCGGTGCAACGTGCGCTCGCGCGAGCGCATGGTGGGCCACAAGTGTGGCGTGGCCCACGGCGAGGAAGCCCACGCACGTTGGCATTCTTGCAAAAACACGTGTTATCAGAAAATCACGCGCGCACTGTTTCTATAGACAGCGACTTTGCAACAGAACCTTTGGATCTTTCTCCTCTTTACAACGACAAGGCCCCCGGCCTTCCTCGCGCGCTTCGGCGTGGCGAGCGGTGGCACTGGCGCTTGCGCCGGCCACATGGGACCCACGCTGACCTATATACGAGGCCGACGCTCACCTAGGGTTCGACGCGATACGATGGGCGGCGGTTGCACGAGCGGGGGTAAAAGCAGAGCGGGCTCTCCCCAACGGCGGATGACCTGCAATGACGGCAACCACGTTCCAGTGAGCCACAACGCTAATAGGATTGTAGAGATAGGGGATAAGCACCAGGGGCACACCGTGAACCCGGCCGAAGTGGTGGTTCGGCCGGCGACTACCTGAGCAGGGCTGGCCACGTGCGTGCGATGAGCACAGCGACGAGCCACGGTGGACACGACCGCGTCAACAATAGTGGGGAGGTGGTAGCGCTCCCGCTGGCATGCGCAAGGTGGACAGGAACCAAGGTGAGCTAGTGGTGCAGAGGAATTAGCGCGAGGTGAAGTGGTGGAGGTTGGCCACGGCGTGGGCGGTGACGGGCCTTAACGGCACGGCGACGGGCAAAGCTCCAAAATTGGAGCTCGGCGTAACGTGAGTCAAGGCGGGGTGGGGTCGGCTGAAGAGGGGGCGTTAAGGCGGAGACATGAGCATGAGTAATTAATGAAAGGTGCTCGCTCTCTGGCTTCACCGTGATGCGACACAACGACGACAGAAACAGAGGGAGAAAGAGGGAAAGAGAGAGACGGCGTGACAGGTGGGCTCGATCTCTCCTTGCCTTGGCGGGACGCGAGCGGCGGGGTCGGGAGGTCCACGCGTCGGTGCTATGGACAACACGTGCGCGCGTCCGATCGACGTGGCCCACACGGCCACAGCGCCATAAATGACATGGCGATAGGCGGCATCCCACGTGCGCGCGGCAGAGGCGACACGCACAGAGCCAGCAACAGCGCAGAGGTGCAGCGGATCAGCGCAGACGCGATAACGATGCGACTACAGCGGCATCGTCGCGACGCGAGTAATGATGGAAGTGCAGGTGCGACGGCAGCGCAGCGTGGCCGTGGCGACACCCAAGACGGCAGTGTGAGGCAGAGCAATAGGGCGCGGGGCTAGCGGCCGGCCTTGGCCAAGCCCAGGCAGCGCAACGGCAGCGGCAGCAACACGGCACGGCGGCAGGACGGCCAGGCATAGGTGAGCGGCGGGCGCGGCGGCTCTTGGTTGGCGGCTAGCGGCGTGCCCATCGCGGCCAGGCTGTGGCAGCAACAACCGCCTAGCGTGGCCACGTGCGCGTGCGCGTGCGCCCAGCGCACCGACGCCGCGACGTCGGGGCTGGACGGCCTGGTGACCGCGCCCAACATGAGAAGACGGCCTGAGTTCATCTTATGCACATATTTTAAAGCGTTCGAGACGTCTAAACCGTTGATCCAATCCCCCAAACCACTTTTTTTATACCTTAGAGGGTATATTAGGCTATTAAAACAAGCTATAATACTACCATACTCCTTAACCCAATCTCTCACAATAAATTGTTAAATGTAGCAGTGTCTAACTGTTGGCAGACTAGAAAATTTCTAAGTTTTTGAACTGAATTTGATTTCCATTTGCGATTTCTAAGCTAGTGGAAATATTAGCTAGTAATATCATTTTTCGACCGCAAGTATTTCACTGTCATGTATAAAGTTCGTACTTCCAACTTTATTACGGTGACACATATATGTTTTATAGCATTTTTGCTTAATAAAAATTGGTTTTCAACCTTAAGTGATATAACATGACTATTGAATCAACTTTCGTTTCACATTTTTGTTGATCGTTTTGAGTTACGGAAATTGATCTGCACACTTTATTACATGCATTAACACATAAATATGATGCTCATAATATGTTTTAGTAAATAATTTACGGTGTAACATCGAGGGTGTTGCGGTTTCCCCTTTGTTCATGTTAATGGTGGTGCAAACCTTTTCCACAAACACAGGAAAAGAACGACTCAAGCCATGTAGAGAGGACATGTTACGATGGCGGAAAGGGGAGAGTAGTGGCATGTGGATCCGAAGGTGCTCCATGATTTTTCATGGGCATACCAATATATTGGTGTCTAGGTTGGACAACTATTGTGCATGTATGTAATTCTGGTCGGTTCTAGTGGTTCCCTTGTTTTTTATTATCATGGTAAAGTCTAGTTTTTTTAACAACATGGTAAAGTCTAGTTGAAACGGCGATTGATTTCTACATTACTACTATATCTTTCTAACCTTTCTATCTATGTTGGAGACTTTATTTTGTTTATTTTCTTTGTATCTTTCAATAAATCTAGACCATTATAATCTGGGTTTATATGGTCGATGTGGCAATTGTAGCCATTGAGAATGAAATAGATGATTTTTTTTACTTGTAGTATTAACTATACTGTTTAGTTGCTTTTCCAACAGATAGAAATAATTACTATTCTTTATAAATTGAGATTTTTTAATTTAGCTATTTAGTAATTATAATTTATATGGACTACTTATTTAGGTATTTTTTTCTTTACATTAACTTGAGATCAAATTATTAACATATCATAGTTTTATTAACAAAAATTATTTTTAATTTGTTTTAGTGGAATTTGTATTTTTGTATTTTTTTATTTCCAACTAGTATGGAAACAAATTGTTTTTCTTAATTTATTTATTATTTTGAGTTTACTATATATTTAATTGTTTTAGGCATAGGCTCTTTGGTTAATCTAAGTTGTTAGATTACCATAAAACCTAACAATATAGGTTTTTGCTTTCCCAACTAATCTCATAATTGTATTAGTATGGACTGTTTGATTTATTATAAGCCGTTCAATAATCATAAAATCCAATTGTACAGCTCTTTTCTTTCTTTTTGGTTAGTCTTGTAATTGTATTAGGAATGATCTCTTTATTTTAATCCAAATTTTGAGATCTTATAAAATCCAATGGTGTAGATTTTCTATTTTTGGGTTAACCTCGTAATTGTATTAGATTGCATAAGGATTCTTTGATTTAATCTAAGCTGCTAGATCATCATAAAACCCAATGGTGTAGGTTCTTTTTTTTCAATTAATCATGTTCTTTTATTTTTCCAGTTAATCTCATAATTGTATTAGGTGTGCCCTTTTGTTTAATTCAAGCCATTAGATCAAACATAAAATTCAATGATGTAGTTTTTTTATTTTTGATTAATCTCATAATTTATAGTCTTCTCGGTGAACATGGTGGTTTTTTTGGCCAATAGATGTTGTTGATGCACAAGAACATACTTTTCACTAAGCCATTTCCGTACTTGTAGGAAACCATGTTTTGAAGATATTTTTTCTCATCAAGAAATCATGATTCATAAAGTAGCTAGCTAGTAGAAATATTCCCACAACTCACTGATATAGGTTAAATTAATGCTTAATATACATGGTACATTTGCTCCAGTTGTTACTTTGATACAACCATAAGTCATATCACATACAAATGACGCATAGACATTCAGACCATTCGATAGAGTATCATTAGCAATAAACCTCATACAAATGGTATAAGAAAATACTCGGCGTAGAATAACTGCAAAATGATAAAAAAAGAAATAAATCAGTAGGCATAAGCACATTAGTAAGTCTTTTCTTTCTTTAAAGATTGATAGAAGGCGTACTGATATTACAAAGCACAAGCTTTTACACACCTTCCAAATGAACATATAAAACGGTGTGATACATTCCTTATTCGCAATGTCAAATTGTTGTGCCCTTTGCCAAAGTGTGGAGGCAAGCAAGCCATGACCAGTCACCTGAATAAGTTTTTTTAGATTGATGAAATGTGAAATGAAAAAAAAATTATGTATATGTATCTAAGTTTTAGAAAGAAAGATGTCGTCACTCACAATGGCAATCTTCTGATATAGGTTTGTAGATGATGCTCCTACCAAAATAGCAGCTGCGTATGCTGTCATGAGAATATTAATGCAGAGCCTATACACCTGAAGCATTAAAATCTAATATTAAATTTGCACAGTTTATATACATTATACTTTTATTGTTGAATAGGCATGCTCTTACTCTCTGTTGGCCTAACCGTACAGTCATGGACTGAATGCTGAAATATCTATCTCCATCAACATCAGGAATATCCTAAAGTTTCATACATAAATAAAAAAATAACTGCTGAATTCCTGTATCAAATAAACATACATATCTAAAAGCCTTGATCTTAACATTAAGAATACATACCTTGAATAGCGCTATTACTGCAGAGAAGCAACACATAAAACATGTTGCGAAGACCACTGACCTTGTTGGTGCCAAGGGCCTCTTCAGAACATGTTGCTATGCAAAAAGTACCATCAGGCACTAAACAAAAGGAACAAAAAAGCATTTGTAATTCGGTGGGTATATGTGGACAGTATTAGCTACCTGCATGTGTGCAAAGAAAGCTAATTGAACCAACACAGCCCTCACAAAGATTATGCATAATGCAGCTAGAAAGGCATGTTGCTTCCACCGGAGTAATGGAGCCTGAAAAGTAGCAAGAGAGATTCAAATTTCAAAACGAAGGCAATAGGGTGCATATGAATTATTGGAACTCCACTTGAATTTACAGGAAAAAGCATGAATTACTTACATTAATGGAATATGCACTTCCAAGAAGGAAGCTAACAAGTAAAGCACACATCAATGGAGCAGACTTTGATCTTATTCCGATGCTAATGCTCTAACAAATTGGAGAAAAAGAACAATGTGAGAAAGATATAAGACCATGATAGATACTTTATGCTGACCAGAATAGATGGTTGTAGATCTCTGTGTGAAACTTGTAACATACCATGACCAAGAATGCCACTACTAATAATACTGCAGTTGCCACTGAAAACTCTCCAGACGCCAATGGGAGAGTTGGCTTATTGACCTTCAAAAGGTTATCAGAAACTCTGAATAATAAACACAATAATGTTATTGACAGCAAACATGATTAAAATTAACGCAAAAATACCTTGTCAATCTCAATGTCGAATAGCTGATTCAGCCCTACTACATAAATGTTCATACATAATGCGGCGGCCAAAGCCTGAATAGAAGTGTCAAAACGAAATGGTGTATGTTGGTACTTATATGTGCCCAGAGTATAGCATTCATAAGAGCATTATACCTCAAGAAATCCCCATAGAACTGTCAACGTAAAATCATCCAAGCTCTTCACTGGTAGGAGAGACACAGAAGTAATGCCTATTATCTGATACATGGTCCAGATATATAGAAAAAAAAAATGAAAGCATGAGACATATGGATATAAACTTGCGAGATGGAATTCGGTCTGGGATACTAGAGCTCACGGTTCCAAATATTGTATGTGGTCGGCAAAACTGATAGAAGGCATGCAGTATCTTTGCAATTCCTATGCCAATTGTCTGAAACCGTTGGGCATTAGAATTATGTTGGTGATGAGCAGCTACCCAGCATCTCACTTTGAGGACTGAGGAATTTTGCGTGGCCTCCCTGTGGCTCTTGTAGGACTAGTGGCATTAAGTGTTTCTGAACATGAGTAAAATAACAGTTTGGAATCAAAGCATTAATGTATAGAAAGATGTTAACAAACCATATATTAAGACATGACACTTGACTTTTCCAGTGGCCTGTTGAAGCTGCCACACACAAATGACCTGCAATTTGTAGAATGAAAGCAAGCCAAATGTATAGCATGTTAGATCAGAAATCTTCAATTATATATAAAAATAATTTTTCATTACAATCCCCAAACTAGAACAAGGCAAAATTGTCTAATCATCTTTTTAGAGAACTTCTGTCAGAATAGTGCATCACAGTTGCTCACCAAAGCTAACAACATTTCCTTCATGTCTTATTTGTCTTCAGAACTCTATGATATACAACAAACTCATTTAGTATTATTTTACCATCTTTTCCTTTTTTTATCAAATTTATTTGTTTCACTTGTTCATCATAAGATAAACTTGCGAAAGGGCCTCTAGCTGAGTTAGGTAGAGGGCTTGAGTAGCACTCCTCAAGTTCGAGGTTCGACTCTCTGTGTGAGTGAATTTACAGGTTGGGGTAAAAAAAACTCGTTTGTTTCATGCCATAGCATAGGTCTAAGGTCCGGGCTTGGTTGTGGTTGTTCTCATTTAGCCTACAGTGCCACTGCGTATGGGTGGGGCAGGGGTTTGAGGGTTTTCTTGACCCGCGTAAGAATGTCTTCTTCTTAATGCAACGCTTGTTGGCTGTCTTACCTTTTGCAGTCAAGTTTTTTTATAAGATAAACTTACAAGTATAACTAAAATTTAGGACTTTATTAGGCCATATTCCTTGAAAATTCATAAGGGAAAACAGTAAATTAGGCATAGGGTTTATCTTGACACTGACGAAAGAATGGTTGATAGATCCTCCGTACTCTACACTCGAATCCATATGCTCGCCCTAGGGCTTGTTCAGTTAATCCCAATCCGTGGATTGGGGATTAACCGAATAAACCTTTAACGTTTCATATGTATGCTTTGTCTTTTAATGCAAAGATAGAGGGACTTCTTCTCCATGGGAGCTCTTATGTTGCACCTAGGTGGAAGCTCTACTGACCCTCCTTGGAAGTGGGGAATCTGCATGTTTTATGTGTGGAGCAAAAATGTTTGAACAATACAAAAAATAATATACCGATAAGAAAAATATTTGGAAAAATTTCCATGGTTAAGAGGTGGTGGTTGGGCTTCAACCTTCCGCTCGGAGTAGAAGATTTCCGATTGAGTGTTTTTCTTTTGGAACTACTATAAATGATATGCTTGATTTTTAGATTTTTTCATGAGACGAATCCAAGCTGTTAGATCATCTTAGGGCTGCTATATCATCTTCATCCTTTGTCGCCTAGTCTTCTTCCAATAGGAAACTCAACCCCGCCTCCCATCAATCTGCTCTATCCCTGTCACCCTTCGATCGCATGTCTAGCCCCACTGCCCCCTCCGCACTAACCCGCATCATCAGGCCATCCCTATGACTCCGCCACCCTTTACTGGCCCAACTACCACCCCCTCTAGGCCTCTACCCACACAGACCTACGGCGGACCCATTGTCTCGCCACTCCGCCCCTGAGCCGTCCTCCTCAGCCTGGCCAGCCAGCTACCCAGCGAGTTCCCTCTACGGTTGTTGGTGCAACCCCTCTCTTGAAAGCAACCAGTCGCCGATGCCTAGAGAGCAACCAGGGGTGGAGCCAGGACAGGTGTTCCCCGTGCTACAGCACCCCTATGCCCATAAATGCCTAAACAATCAATGTTTTTTTTTCTAGAAGTCTAAGAACATCTGGGAAATTAAATTCGAATGTTATAGTATCGATGCCAAAACATTAAAGCATAAAGCCCTTGTAGGGGTGTTCGGCAGAGCTGTTCTTGAGAGGCTCAAAACCACTCCGGCTCATCTGTTTTTTCACTATAAAATGGCTCCTCCTATAACAAGTTTGGTAGAGCTTCTCCGGAGGAGCCGGAGCCGGGGAGGAGCCCTACCAAACATGCGGGCCTGGCTCATCCCTGAGCATCATGGTATAAGAGATGTGTTTTCCTTTTGAACGAAATCACAACACCCTATGCTCCATAGCAGCGAATCTACTCCTCTTCTTGCGAAAGAACAGCGAACCTAATCTCACAAGGGATGCTGGAACTGCAATTGGTTTTGTGAATTTGATAACTCTGAAATCACATACACCTGAGGAGACCAAACGATGATCACACGGAGGTGCACAACATATTACCTGTCCATGAGAATTTCATCGCGCCGAACCGAGCCCTAATCTTTGGTCCTTCCCTGTGATCTGTATATCACCACAAACAAATATCCATCACCATTATTCAACCACACAGTTCTCAAATATGGGAGTAGCACACAGGACAGACAAAAAAAAAATGAAGAACGAAATTAATAAATATACAAAAACATCAAAACTATTGCCTGTAGACAGCCGCAACGCGTGCGCCGCCGCTGCCGCCGGCCGCAAGGTCGCCGCTGACGACGTAACCTGATGCATCGTCGTCCTTCTGCCGGAGGAGAAGAGATGGACCAGAGGACTGAGGAGGTAGAAACGACTCGCCCTTCCTCACTGACTCGATCGGAGGATCTCGGACGATCGAGATCACGAGATGCGCGCGGCTAATGGATCCAGTAAAGTACGCGGTGAGCAGCTGGACTGGCCGGCTGGCACTACTACTGGCAGCCAGAATGTTGCAGACTTGCAGCGGTCTGTCCGCATGTTGGTTTCAGCCAAAAACAGTCAGCCAACAATATTTTTCTCTTACAATAAACCAGTACTAACCAATTTATATCAGCTCAGAAATCAACCAACGAGCAGGCCGTGTGACTGACTGACTATGATGACATATATATATATATATATATATATATATATATAAAGCCCCCGTGCCAGCCGGCGGCGGCGGCGTTGTCTCGATCTGCGCGCTTGTGCATCATCGTGCTGCATGCATTCATTCACGTCCTGTTCGCTCGGCCATACTTTTTCAATCGACGAATAATATTTTTCTCTCACAACAAATCAGCCAATAATACTTCCAACTGTGACTTATCAGCCATGGCGAACGGAGCATCAGTGCACAACCTAGGGTGTGAATGTGTGATACGTGTGGACACAGCAGGTCACTGGTGATACAGTTGTGGGATTAATTTCGATTCTGATGTGCACTCATTTCTGCAGCTGTCGTCTATGATGTACGGAGACCCAGGCGGCACGAAAAAAACGTGACTCCCCGTCATTGGCCGCGTGGAGACGAGAGGAAAACAACCCATGGGGGTGCCCGCCCAACGGGTCATTGGCGATTCCCCTTCCCGTCCGTCCGTTGCGTCGCTCGCACGGGTGACCGGCCGGCCGCCATCACGCATTCAAGCGTCCCGGCCGAACGTCCGCCTCCAGAAAAGTCATCCATCGTCTCCCTACACAGCGATGCTTCATGGGATTTGGAGCCTCGTCGTCATCCCCGAGGTGCCCAAAAGTTCCATCTGCGGCTGTGCTGACCGGCGATGCCGACGGTAGGGGCGCCACGCTGGCTCTGCTTGCGCGATTGGACAATCGCCCTGTTTTGGGAACTTATAAATCATGATTAAAAGTATCGATAATTGGTTTGGTGTGAGAGAAAAATATTGTTATGATTAAAAGCGGATATTATTGGTTGGTTTGACCGATTTGATATGAGAGAAAAATATTATTTATTGACTTATAAGCCAAATACAAGCAAACGAAGATGCTGAATTGTTCCCGGGGGCGGCATGCATGGCTTCGGCAGTTCCAGGTAACCATGGAGAGCGGAGGCAGTTGGGACTTGAAGGTATGAATACGAACTCTCCTTTGCGGCTTGGTTTCGATCCTTTTATGGATATAGATAGATTCAGTTCTAAAATCTGCACATGGTTTCCTGACCTGTACAAAATGGAGATGGGTATTCTGGTATGCAGAAAGCAAAGCAAGTCCAGTCGTGTGGATTAGATTCAAAATGATACACTCCTACGTCTGTTAATCATAGATCCCAAGCATGTACGGTCAGCAGCATCGTTATTGTGGCCCTTGTGTTTCCAATGTAGTGGGGGATTATTTGATGATCATGATGAAAACTACATGCCAATTGGAGATGAGCTGGTCATCTCAACAAAGCGGATTGTCAATTAGGAGAGGAAGATGAACACATGAATATGCTAGTCATGCCAGATGCCAATGCTTTCTTTGTTACTAGAACATTAGACGCCCTTCCGGCGTCCTATCTTGACTATTTGGCCAATAATGAAGTATTTAACCAAATTTATAATAATAATTTTCTCGTTTCAGAAATAACAATAGTTTTCTTGTTTCATACAGAACAAAATTAAAAAAATCTTTTGCATGTAATACACTAAGATCTTTTAACAATAAAAGAAAATTAAACCATGAATGTCATCGGACATCTTCGAGAACTCTATTACATCAGGCAGCATTACAAAGGATCATTGTACAATGTCAGAGTTCAATTTATGGGGGTGAAATTTGAAAAATAAAACATCTATCTAAGTAGGAAGTATACATGCAACCATAATGAACTTCAAAAGAGTTTGTGCTGAACTTGGTCCAAAACAAAAAGACTCGTAGAATCTCTGATTAACGTGCAGTTAACATCAATTTATATACTCCTAAACCACTCGACGGCGGCTGGGCAGAGGAGTCGTTTGACGGTGACAGCGGGTTTTTACCCTATTTGTGCACCTGCTTCACAA